ACTTAGTACTATTACTTAAAACTAACCTAAAGAAGGGACGATAAAGTAAGTAAAGTTTTAAAAGTTAATTAATACAATAACAGTAGTATATATATATATATATATATATATATATACATATACATAATCTCTACACTATGTTATTATTACTACCACATAATAACGATGTTTCTTTGAACACATTTTGAAATCTATATGTTTGCACAAAGAAAATTTAAGACAAAACAAACATTTAATATTTCAACACATAATAAATATATATATTTCCTTTACATGAGCTATTAATACAAATCAAAATGTATTCAAACAGACATTTTTCATAAAGTAAACCATTGTGCTAATAATTGTTCTACCAAAATTAATTTAAATATATTAAGAAATCCAGAGCATGACAAAATACTTTGAATATAACATACAGGGCATACCATTTTATATGATCCCTCACTATATAACAAAAGGTGTTTAGGGAGTCATTTGTTGTATAAAACATGTAGTGTGTTTTCTACAATAACATCATTGTGCTTTCAAATCATTGTTTGTTAATATACTATTTTGTAAGTATAATGTGCTTCCCTACTAAGTAATAAGTAAACTGCTTATGTTTACCATCTTCTAACACATTTCAAGAAAATTCCTATGAATATATTTCAAAATTCACATGGTGGCACAAAGATTTAAAAAGTCAGACTACAATGAGTATATGAAACTAAGACCTCATAGAATAAAAATCGTCATATGATGCTCTTCACAAGAAACATTAATAACAGCAGCAAATTATTAAAGTGTTTCAAGCAAATTTTTAAACAGTTAATTCACATACAACTCTCTTTCTATACTAGTTCGTATCTAAATATCATAATGCACTTCAAATTATCATTTTTTACTTCATTTATTCAACCTCTCACTATATAATGTTTTCCTGAAAGGCAAGGTTTACTATACATTCATTAAGAGATTTGCAATATTTGCTTTTACAATGGATTCCATTTATTCAGAATACTTAATTTCCAAGTGCTATAATAAAATATCATTGTAATTATGTTAAAGATGCTAAAAAAGCAAAAAAAATTAACTTCATTTTAATCTGTTGAGGTATTTAAAGGAAAAACAAACATATCTGGTTTTAATTAAACCAGATATAGGATATTAAATTATTTTAAAAAAGATGTACATCATTTCTAATCAGAATATGTGTTGTCCTCAGTTTTGGAAGCTATATCTATATAGTTTAATAGCTTCATATATTAAGGAATTCTCTGTTTCAATGTAGTACACTATATATATATATATTGTGACAGACAAGATTTATCTATACATACATATTTTCTTTTATAACTTTCTTTTTTCTATTTAATAATGAATAAATAAAAATGAAATTTTCTGATACTGCAACCAGTGCTGTCCATCAGTGGGACAGCAATACGGTATGGGCTTATAATGCTAAAATCCTAGGTTAGATCCCCCACCATGGACAGAGTGCAGATAATTCATAGTGTAGTTTTGTGCCAAAACAAGTAAGTACCAACTGCTTAAAATATACATGTGCAATCATATATATAATACTTCCTGTGAATTTTAATGTCCATTTGGGAATTTTTTTAAATATACATGCAGATGCAGTATAACACAAAAAAAGAATAAAAAAAATATGAATAGATAGAAATTACAAAAGATGATTAAAAAGTTTCCAGTTAACAGAAACTTTTAATTAAAAACTTTTTTCTTCTTCTTAAAATGTATGTTCGTTATTAACTTCAAGCCATTTTATTTCCAATATATATTATTTACAACTAAAGTATGTCTTGTTCTCTAAAATTAATTTTGCTAAAATAATCAAACAAAAACTATGCATTTGCAACAAGAGATTTTAAAAAAAGCCTGAAAACATTGGCTGAATCTCTCCTACTAGGTATTTCCATCTATATAAACAAAAGCAAAATCTGCTGTACGTTTGTCCACTACCTTCTCGCACACAATATTTGACCAATCTCCATCCAAAAGTAACATGGAGGGGTCAAAATTATATCTGTTCATCTGTCACACCAATAACTTTGGGCATACAATAGTTAGATTAGTTTGAGGGTAAGTTGGTAGAAATCATGCTAATAAAATCGAATCAGGTTTACACATGCACCATGCTTGGTATTGCTGCCGCATTATAATAATTGGCTGAAATTCCCCATTACATTTGCTTGGCCGTCAAGGAGATACAATGACGCAACATCACCAAACTTTGTCCAATCGGAACACTTGGCTATGACTCTATAACACAGGCCTGAGATGGTTTTATTGCCCTGAAATTTTTATACGTTCTACAGTAATACCTGTACGTTAAACCTGAAAATGATATCTAATTTTCTCCATCACGTACAGATTTTTCACAAAACATCATAATGCAATACTTAAAAAAAAGACAACAAAATGTATTTTTGAGACTAAAAGATGTAGATTTCACAAAACAAATCGGGATGAATGAGGATGCATATTTGTTTGACATCAATGTTCTTCCTTTTTCCTCAGTTTATTTGTTTTTGTTAACAATCACAATAATAAAAAATGTTCATTGCGGTAAATGAAATAATAATTCAATCTAAGTAACAGTTATTAAAACCAAAGCAACTTTTATGAAGTTTAAATTTGCAGGTCTGTGTAACCTGCATGGTTTAGTCACAGCACATTTAAATTTTGAAAATGCCTAAGTTAAAGTGTGCTTCTTCAGCTTAGCCAGCTAACAAAGCTAAACCCAGGAAGACAGTCCAAAGAGAAAACCTGAAATCTCTCTCTCTTGTGTTTGTCTGTCCGTTTACTCCTCATATACTATTTGACCGACCTCTGCCAAACTTGGCAAGGTGACTCCTATGGTCCCAAGAAGTGACTTGGGGGTCAAAATTCCCACAAAAAAGGCATACCTTTGATTTTGTCAAACAATTTACAATATGTAGCCTATTTCTCTACTTTTTCTATAACATTGTAACACCATCCATTCCTTTTCTCTAAATGATGGGAAATTCTACTGTAAAAGAAATCTTCAAAGCTCATGAAACTTTATTTTGCTAATGATCAAATATGTCTCTTTTTTTTCAATGCGAGACTCACTTTACTGTTGTGTTTATGTTTAAAATATAATCATGTTGAAGGAGCACATCCATAGAGCTTCCACCCCTAAAGTGGAGGTGTATAATGTACCAAAAAAAAACTGTATAATATAACACTACAATTCACTGGTAAGTATGCCTTGAAAAACCAACAAGACTCAATACTTTATTTTGCAGTGTTTATCAGCAAGTATAACCTTGAGTGATCCTTAACTTCATCTACATGTAACAACACAATGGTTTTTAAAAAGACTGGTAGACAGAATTTCACCACAGTCTCGGAGTAGTTGGGCATTTGGCAAAGTGCGTGGAAGTGTTTGCGAGTGTTTAGGGTGTTTTAAATTTTAGTGATATTCCATTAACAATGCAATGGACTGCTATTTCTTTGTGTTTTTAAATACCTGTTTCAAGTCATTTGCACACCTGTGCAGGGAATGGGTACTTCAGCTAGTTTGACAATAATAGCATCTGACAGTAGAATTCATTCTGAGATGTGTTTGCATATTTTGAGATTTAACAGTTATTGTTTTTAATGAAAAAAATTTACAAAAGCATAATCAACATATTCTTACACATGAAAATATTACTGTATGCACAAGTACTGTTTCACAATCTTTACCTCAGAAGTTTACAATCACATATGAAGAAATATTAATTCTCCTTTTTCTATGGATATATCTTTTATTTTATTGCAGAATATAATGATGACTAATCTAGCTATTATAATCAAATACTGTCAAAAGAATACTCATTACACTACTTTTTTTCTTTCTCAGATTGAACAAACTACTTTCTTATAAAAATATTAAACCACTTTTGTAAGTGTTCCTGATACCAAAAGTCATACTGAAAACTCTGTGACACCATAATATCAGTGTATAATTTACCATTTATATGGTCCAGTTCATGTTGGATTATACGTGCTGGCCAACCCTTTACTTGCCATTCCACTTCTTCAGCTTTTTCATTGTATCCTAAAAGCATATACATGAGATACAGAAGAGAACCTTTTTGATACATGAAAAAAAGCTGTATTACAATTTAAACACTAATACTGAAACTCATAAATATAAGATCCTAAGTTATAGCTTATAAAATGTGATTGAGAATGAACAGTAAATATCAGAAGACTAAAACCTGGGATTTACATTGAGTCAGGAATGGGTTCAAGTAATGATCATTACATTAGGTGCTTAATTTGTGTGCCTCATTTGGAGAAATAACTAGATCCTACCTAAGGAAGATATTATTCCAGATTAATTTAAGAAAGATTCTAATAGTTCAAGTCATATAAATCACTAGAGTAGTATGACAGTATCTACTGCTACTCAACATTGTTGGCATTCCTGAAATACGTTTTAAAGGGTTATTTTCTGCTATACTATTAGCATATAAATAGCCACAATGACTCAGCAGAGAGCTTGATGGCTTTTAATGATAAAATTTGGGATTTGATTGTGTAGCTTCATTTTATTAATAAAACAACAAACAAGCATATTAAAAATATTTACAGCTAAAGAGCAGAGGTGTAGGGTAATGTAGAAAAATGTTAAAGATAATTTGCAAATTAAAGTATAGTGTCCCTTCAAAACATATTTTGAAACTTCAGAAAAAATTTTGAGACATAGGATTTAGAATAAGCAGAAAGTAGATTTTCTTTTAAGTTTGGTGTTTTATTCCTTTGCTCCTATATAACTATATACCATATAACTGCACCATATTACTGTACATTTTCACATACCCTGTGAAAAAAAAATTTCTGAAAGATCTTTAACATGCTAATAAAATGTGAGGCATAGATTTCAAAGTGCATTCTAATGTTCCTGTATAATATACATGACTCAATTAAAGAATTCTGCTGCCCACATAAAACTGTTCTATTCCTTTGAAAGCATTTATTGAACTTGTACCTATTGTACAATCTATAAACCCAAACAATTAAAGTGTGCAAATACTTTAATTTTTCAAATATTATAATACTGACTGGAGCTGTATCTATTTTTCAAGTCACATAAAAAGATAGCTTTACATGTATATTACCCAACAGAAATACTGTATTTGTTACAGTTGACTATTTCATCTGGTGGCAAATTTAAGATAACATCAAAAATTTGATAAATAATTAGGATGTTTATTGTAATCTTAATGTAACTAAACCTAATTCTTTACATTAATGTGTACAGATTGTGTTTGTGATAAAGTCAGCAAGCAAAATAATGGGCAATAATAAATACTGTTCTGAAGTAATACATGTTATTTTCTTTGATAAAAAAAAAAAGAATACAAAAACAAAATATTCCCATTAATAATTATAGTTTTTGATGGAATAAACACTTCTATATATTATAACAATGAGTAGTCAGAAATTAGACAATTATTCACATTAAAGCATGAAACTTCATCAAATGAACATAATCACAGAAACTAAAATGTTTACTGAATGAAACCAAATGAAAAGGTCAATTCACAACAAAAACTTTATCAAAATACTCTCTACTATTTGCAGAATGACATTTAAAATGTTATATTGTTGTGTTCATAAAATTTAAAACACAGTTTTTGTTTTCTTCTTCATAAGTGAATTTGCTGTTAGTGTGAATGTTGGTTACATGTTGTAGATAAAACTGTTGATGGTCATTATCTTAAAGTCCATAAGATACATTGCCAAAGTATCTATGCCAGTGTGTGTGTGTGTGTGTGTGTGTGTGTGTGAGAGTGTAGAGCTATGCTAATGGACTAACTTTCTATTATGTTAATGAACAATTCACATAATCCAGGTGACAGGGGGTTGCCTAAGCTTAGGCTGTTTATTTGTTCATAAATGTTACCTTGATAGGTATAACATATCTTAAGTGCAGAGTGGAACAAACTTTTCAAACTTTCTAAGCTCAGGTTGTAATTCAATTTGTCAGAATTTTTTAATATCATTTCTAGAGTTAGATGTATTGCTTTGACTTTTGATATCATTATATACTTGGAAACTATGTCAAAATTGTACATTTTGTGATTATTGTTATGGTTGTTGAGATTTCTTTGGAATTACAGAACATTTTAAACTTTTTGTCATCATGTAATAGTTTGATTGGAAAATCTAGGAATCATGCAAGTTCATAATTAACTGCCATAAATAGAAAGGATGGCACAAGTATCAATTGGTTTTTATGAATTTTCACAGCACCAAACAAACAAGGAGTAGATGCATTTGTGACTCTTAAGTTGTTGCATGTCTTTAATGATACCATTGTTATTTTCTAACTTTAAAGTAGGCTATTCAGTTGTCTTTCATTACATTCATTAAGGTATTTAGTAAATTCTTTGAACTTGGTTAAACTGTTACGAAGTTTTTTTTATTAAGTTTTTGTAATCATCAGTTTCCATAGTCACTGTTTTCCACCTTTATCAGCCCTTCCTACAATAATTTGCGAGTTATTTCACAATTCTTTAAGGGCCGATATTTAGCATTTTGTGATGTTTAATTCTATGGTTTTATTTGTTACCTTGTTTGTTGTCTTAGCTCTTAGATTTTTGGTGATTGATTGCTGTACTAATCTAAAACAAGTATAAAAAAATCTAAACAGTAAAGCTATTTTTATTCAATAACCAAATATTAAAATCAAAGATCATCTAAGGAAGGTTTATTCTGACAACTTCAACGATGGAATCACCTACAAATATCAACATCTTTGGTGTGATAGAATTTATAAGGTGAAATGGAATGCAACATAAGTTTTAGGATCAAATACTGTAAGACTCCTCCATCACACTTCTACAAACACAGCAAAACAAATCAACATCCAATCAATATTAACAACTTTAAAATATTATATTGAAGAAAATAAAAGCAGCTTTAATCAATTGTGAACCAAAACCCAATTTAAATCAAAAACGGGTATCACCCTATATGTTTTCTAAATTGGAACAAAATACCCATGCAACTTTCTAGTATCTAATACAACAGAAGACAGTTTTACCTTACAATGATCATATGAGTGGTCTAAATGCTGTTGTAAAGTTAAGAAAATAAAATAAACCACTCAAAAAGAATGTAAATATTGAATGGGTAACAAAGAAAACTTTATTACCAGTTTAATACAGTAACAAATATACTGTCACTCAGGGATACTTTGAACAATCTAAGCAAATATGTTTTGATCATTATTTATAACACTGAAATATTAGAATAATTTGTTTTTGAATATTCAATGATGTTTTCTAGCATCTATGGAACAAAGGAATATTATATGTTTATATAAAAGATCCTATTGTGGTCTTACAGAAAAAGTTTAAAGTGGGTGCCTTCATGTTAAGGTTTTGATACTGTTGCATACTTCTACCTGTTCATAGGTCAGTATAGAATTGTATGTCTTTCAATTGTAGCTTAGATGTTAAGTAACTGACTGTTGACTTGTATCCTTGTTCATTACTAGTTACATGAAATACTGTATAATATCTAAGAATTTTGCCACTATTTACATGTCAAACTGGGGCTACTTTGAACAACATTCCTAGATCTGTCAGTGTATTTCACACTATGATAAATGATGACAGTTTGAGGTGAGAAACAGCAACTATCAAAGATATTACATTGGACAAATTTGAGTAAATAATGTCTACAGTATTTTCAACCTTGTTCCTTTTTTTTCAATCCCTATTTGCAGGCTTTTAAATTCCTAATTTTTTATTTACCTTGTTTGTTGCTTTTTTTAGGTTCAACTATAGGCAAAGCCACAAAGAATTACTTGACATGGTAGCTAACTTTATACACTTTAATGAGAATAAAAGTAGTTAGTAGCTAGCTGATATGGTTCATGATAATTTACTTATAAACAAGATTACGACACTTATGTTTGCCAGTATAAGGAAGACAAAGCTTAAATTTATATAAAAAAATCAACTTAAACGCATACTTGGTCGTTACTACCCTAAAGTGGATTTAAGATTAGTTTTTAAATCCACATCATGCATAAAAAATTTCTTTCCTACTAAAGATCTCCTCCCCATTCCTTATTGTTCTTGGCTTGTCTATCTTGTGTGGAGACTGTAAGGCCTCCTATATTGGCAAAACCAAATGCCATTTAAAAGTCAGAGCCTACGAACATATGGGAATTTCCATTAAAACACCAAAAAAATTGAATAACCCCTGTGTTTCCTTAATACGCCA